AACTATCCAAGCAAAGCTCTGCATTTAAGTTTTCTTTCTAATTACATTTGTTTGTTGTACATGCTGCATTCTCAGGCAAGGACACTGAAACCAAGCCTCTTTTTTCCTCTAGCATCAGGAAATGTAGGAGTTTTTGGGAGTTGGTTGGGTAGATGATCTTTCAAGGAAATAGGTCATAGCACTGAAAGATTAAAATGATTTATTCAAGCAAAACTTGCCAAACAAGTTAAAGAAGTATGAAAGCTCTTCTGGGGCTGGTATTGAATGTCTCACAATAATAGAAAAGTGTGTGATCAGAGCAGACTGCCAGGAAAGAGCAGTGTGTACATTGTACCACTCTAGATGTGCTCGGACAAGTAGAAGAGACAAGTGTGCCCCAGTAGAGGGAGGATTCAATAAAGGTATTTTTCCATTTTCTATTTGAGCCTACACTGGAGACAGAAAGGACCAGCTGTGCTGAAGCTGGACACAACTTCCATATGTGTAGCTATTAAAAAAAGCTGTATCTATACCACATAGCTCTCCTTTTGTCAGGGGTAGATTCTACAAAAGCTCCAGCTCCTAGTTCAGCAGAAATTAGGACCATTTAGGAGTTAAGACCATTTAGGGACTGCCTTCAATTTTGGAGGCTCTCTCTACAGTGCCATCAATTAGCTGGCAGTAGTTATTCTAGCCTGTATCGAACCAGGCTGGAAAGAAAATACACAAATGAAATTACACAGATTTTCTCCCTGAAAGCAAAGGAATGGACATTATGAGATGGTCACTGCAGCTTTGTGCATTTGGAAAGTGTGCCATCTCAGAGAAATATCCAGTAAGAAAAAAAAATAGGACTGCTTTGTGCTCCACCTGTGCTACCAAAAGGGAACCGGCCAGAGAACCTGGCTTTGCCTTTGCAAGGGCAGAGAGATGAGTGACAGATGGGGAAGAGGCTACTTATTCACATGCAGCCCAGGAAGGAAAAGCCATGTAGTTGCACTTAGTTTAGTGATGTCAGGATATGTCCCCAAAGCACAGGAATATGTCCCCAAAGCACAGGAATATGTCCCCAAAGCACAGGAATGTACATTAGGAAATGCAAGGCAGCTGCCAGTATCACTCATGGCAACATCCAAAAAGTGAGGAGCAAAAGAGAGCAAAACCAACCACTTCACTTTTCAGCTCTCCATCATCAACTGAGCCAAGGTGGAAAGGTGGCTGAGTTTGGGAGGGGAGAGGGAGAGGGCACTGTCAGCTCCCAGGCTAATAAAGCCCAAGGTGAGAATGCAGAGGATAGTGCTTTCAGAGGGCATCAGCTACAGTGAGTGCATTATTCCTCTCTAAAGTGAGTGCAGGAAGGAGGTACAGTGTGTCAGTGCATAAGCTGTACAGCAGGAAAGTAAGGGTGAATACCAGGAAGGCTTTCCCAGCAGGGAAATATGTAAGCATGCAGAACTATGTCAGTGAAGGCAAAGAGATAAACCTGTAATAAAGGATATTTTATGTAATGAACCAAAATTAGAGCATATTTTGCATTTGCCTTATGTGGTTTGTGGGACTCATTACAGGGGGCTTACTCAAACTGCTCTACAGATCTTCGCTTTCTTAGCCAGCATTTCTCCTTTAAATAACTGAAGAAGTCACACCAGGTGCAGGGAGATATTTGGATATGACCTGAGCAAGTGTCAGCCCTATTTATTCTCCATTTTTTCTCTTCTGCAGCCAGAAAAAAAGAGGAAAGCCTTTCCACCAGCCTCTGCCTACAGAGCAGGCACTCAAAGTGTCCAAAACCTAAGGGGAGCCCAGGAGTTGGAGTAGGGTGAGTAATCCAAAGCATGGAAACAGTATCTCCCCAGAGGCTTTTCCCTAGCTTAAGACTTATTAAACCTGAGTAATTTGTCTCATTAACTGGCAGCTCAGTAGCTGTCCTTGAAAAAGCAAGGGACACAAGAAAGGAAGAAACATGAGGAGCTCCCAAACCCCAGGAGGAGCAGCTTCATGGATGGCCTCACCTCTCTCTGCTGGCTCCCAGGCAGACCTGGTCTCTCCTCCTTCTCGCGGCCAGGGTGATGCAGTGCCGCAGTTCCTGGCTCAGCCCAGGTATGGGGGCTTTGCAGAACCCAGCAGACATTCCTGCGCACCAGCCATTCTCCACCAGGCACCGAGGGAAAGGTGGGTGCTCAGTGGTTGTGCTCCAGCTGCCAGGGTGTTTTTTCGCAGCTCATGAGAAAAATGTCCTTAACTGCTCAGCTCACTTATGTCTTTCTGATGTTATGTAAGCAAATTGAGAGAAAAAACACTGCCATGAGCAGGTTTCTAATTAGGAAAAGAAATAAAAAGAATTATGGAATTAAGGCAAAACCTCAGCATGAATGACCCAAATCCTTTCCTTGTGCTGCAATCCACAGCAGGCTATTAGAAAACTTTTTTTAAAAAAGAAAGTCTATCACTAAGATGGCACAGCAAAGTCAAATTCTTTTGTAGGCTAGCACCTGCTTTCCCAAGCAGCTGATCCCACTCCATTTGTCTATTGTAAGTGTGAAGGATCCTTTAGAAAGAGATGTCTTTGGGACACAAGCATTCCTACAAACATTGCTGAAATATGAGTAGCAATGGGGCATACCACACAGTCTTAGAATCATCAAGGTTGGAAGACACCTTTAAGATCATCAAATCCAACCACCCACCCAACACTACCATGGTAACTCCTAAACCATCTCCCAGTGCCACATCCAGATGCCTGTGGGGCACCTCCAGGGATGGTGGCTCCACCACCTCCCTGGTCAACCCATTCCACTGCCTGACCACCTAACAGTGGAAAGGATTTTTCTGATATCTAATCTGAATCTCCTGTGCCTCAGCTTAAAGCCATTTCCTCTGGTCCTCACACTGCAGAAGAGACCAGTGCCCACCTCACTGCAGCTTCCTTTCATGAAGGGAGTTGTAGAGAAGGATGAAGTGCCCCCTGAACCTCCTTTTCTCTGACAAAAGAACATGAACTCCCTCAGCTGCTGCTCGTAAGATGAGTTCTCTAGACCTCTCATGAGCCTTCTTGCCTTTCTCTGGACATGCTCCAGCACCTCAATGGACATTTTAAAGCGAGGGGCCCAGAACTTAACACCGCGCTAAGGGTGCACACACTCACCAGCACTGAATTCAGGGCAGTGACCACTTCCCTAGTCCTGCTAACATCCATCCAATCACCATTTCCTAATTTGTGCTGCCAACTTTCTCTTGGTGGTCTGCAGATTGTCATTGCTATTGAAAACTGCCTACAATGAGTTACCTACTATCACACTGCGTAGAGGTGTCTCATCAACAGTGGCTTGCTTTGTGAACATTTCAAGCATCCACAGGTCTCCATGACCTGACCTTAACAGGAGGTAAGAGCCCTCTACATTTCTTACCACTGAGGTCTTAGTTCTTTAAATATCCAGTTGTAGATGTAAGTGCCTCAGTTGCAGATTTAAGTGCCTACGTTTTAGAACATTGGCTAGCCAAACTAGTAATTTTATGGTTCTCATAGGAATAATTTGAAATTTGCTGAGGAAATCTTATTTTCCCTCACAATCCTGCCTATTGTGAGTGAAACACCTGTCACAGAGTGATTTTGATGGCATTTGAATCCCTAAGGGCATGGTGGTTTCTCTAGGAGATACCCCAGGATTGTAGTGTGCAACTGTTTGGAAAGCTCACATCTTTAGTAAATCACTTGGTGTTTGAACAAGAAGCCAGACTTATTCTGTGTTTTTGAAGGCACTGTCTCCCTGAAACTGCCACGTTACATGACAAAGTCTGCATCAGCCAGAAAATGTGCACTGCTCATCATTGGTTTGATAGGATGGTAGCTTATTTTCTGCACCAGTCCTTTTTCTGCTGGGTCAGTCCCCTCAGGGTGAGGGATCTTTAGGCTTTTTTCCTTACTGCAGCAAGGCTACAAGGATGAAGTACAAAAAGGAGACCTCAGCTTTCCTGTCTACTAAGAGACCTTGACAATTGTAGCACACAGCTGAATGAACCAAGCTGCCACAGGGAAGGACCCCACTCTGGCAGCTTGGGGACTAATGTTAGGCAGGCACTGCCACGCAGAAACCTGAACCATCCGAGAAGGAATCCAGCAAAGCTCATTAATAAAACACCTTCTGCAATTGCCCAAAGGACTGGGCAATTAGTTGAAGCACCCTGACAACTACAAGGCACAAATAAAGAAATACAAACAACTATTTTTGGAAATAGACTCCAGCTTAGGGTGAGAAGACAGAACATCACTGGTAGCAGAGGCACCATGCAATTACATTATCTCAGTCTGTTCTGCTCCTGTCCTCTCATCATAGGAAGGTGTGTACCAAGGTGGGGTCCTCATGCCTTCTAGAAGATAGGTACATGGATATACCATATCTAGGTACATGGATATACCATAGCTAGGTACAGGATATACCATATCTGCAACAGCACTGAGTCAAAACACTGCCATGATCTGTTGTCTTATGATCCTTTGTACTACGAGACAAAACTTCCCCTTTTTTTGGGCTGAAAATAGTTACTGTGATGCTGATGCTCTCAGATTTGTGTGTGGTGTGCAGGCATGCTGGTGTGTGGTGGTGACCATCTGCCACAGCAGTGACACCAGAGGGTTAAAATGCTGCCTTTTCCACCTGGGCTCAGGGGTGGCTGTGCTGGGTGAGTAATGTGTGGTTCTGTGGCAGGGGGCTGCTGAAAGGCTGAGTGAATTGGTGCCAAAGGGGGAGCAGCAGCTGGTGCAGAAGAGCCTGTGTCCATGAGCAGCTGTCCAAAGCACTGCACTGACACAGAAGGAAGCAGACAGGTCTCTTCTCCAGCAGGGACAGCATGTGGAAGCTTCCACCACCACACTGAGCTTTGCAAAGAGCCAGATCTCAGGCCTGGGTGCAGAAAGCCCATTGTGGCTGCTCTGACCTACACACATCCATAAATTCTGGCAGAACGTTCACCCTTAAAAGTCCTTTCTTTTCCCATGTCAGCCTACAAACAGAGACCCAGAATAATTAAGACAGTGCTCATTTTATTGTACTCATCATGGAAACCAGATGTGAAACAGCAAAACATTAAATTCCTAAGGGACTTAGTCAGGTGGGTAACATTGCTTTAGTATCACTTTAAGACTTTTCACATGCAAACTTTTGTTGGTATGTCTCAAATGAATGCCATGGTACACCTGGTAGCCTAAGACTAGCTTTATTTTGTACAGTACATCACATTCAATCAGTGTAACTATAAAATTAATAAAGCCACAATAATATTCGTTGTTGTTAGAAGCCTCCAAGTTGGTTTTCTTCTGATGCTGGCTGACTCATGGCCACAGTTTTTGAAATTAAAAGTTCAGATACACTTCCTACCTTTAATTCTGGGCAGAAACTCCCAGTACTCTCCAGTGTCACTGAGACCTTTATTTCACAATTTAGACTCAGTGATTTTATGTGCCAGAAACACACAAACAGTTCTCTTTCATTTTATGGAAATTCCTCAGGGCAGTGTCTAAACTTGCTTCTGATGGACTTGAAACTATTGATTGTGAACTGAGCTAAGGGAAGTGTCATGAGGATCCTCCAGCAGAAGGGTCACCTCTTACAGCAGAGCTGCTGAGAAGTATCTGAGAGACTCATATTCTGCAGCAGACAACTGCTGGAGACTTTGCAGGCAGATTTGTCATTTATTTCTACTCCAAGGAGTGTCAGTCTTAGCAGAAGGCTAACAAAAACCTAAGGTCTCATATTTCAAATGGAGATTAGTTGATGTGATTCTGTTCCTAAGGAGATCAGATGCTTCCTATCACCCACAGTCTGATTTTTAGACACCCAAGAAGGAGAAGGATTTAAACTTGCCTCAAGGTTGTGGAAAATGCTAAGCCTCCAGCATTCAATCAGAAGGGCAAAGGGAAAAAAATCGTATTAGAGCATGAGAGATGCATGAGACCTGCACACATGTACTTGCCTTTTAAGCAGGGACACACACATAAGCTTACCTACATCAGAAGTTTTACTAGAGGAAAAAAATATTTCCTCTCTGTGTGATTTGGCTCAGTAATAACGTCACTTTTCTTTAGAGAAGCCTGAGTGATGAAAAGTAGGTTTCACTTTGCAAAATCTTCTTTGCTGGGATTTGATGCAAAATCCACACTATAAACTCTAGGAAAGAAGAGCTACTCAGAAAAACACAAAGCAGAAAAAACAATATATCTCAGCATTAAAAAAAAAAGAAAATCAGTTTGGCTCAATTCAGATGTAACACTTTAGTCTTTCGTTTAAACACCCACAGTCACTCAGGGGGGAGGCCCCCAAAGAATACTGAAGCCAGTTCAAGTTACAGGACCCGACCTTCGGGTCACACCACAGCATCCAATGGCACCAGAGATGTTTCGTAGTGTGCAATATTTGGGTAAGGATCTACCTTCATGTCTTTGGGACACCTGAAAATACTGACCACTCATACAGGCATCACAGAGACACCAAAAAGTAAACCAGCAGAGACTGGATTCTGAAACAGGGAGTTGGGGAAAAGGAGAGGAGTTTCCCTTAGACCACAGCCCTTAATTTTCTAAGCCCAGAGTCTGACAATCAGTTGTCTGTCATTCAGAGCAGCCATTCCCACAAGCTGTGTGCAAAAGTTACTCTGTTGTGGCAGCATTTTGCGTTAATTTTTACAAGGTGTGGAAAGATAGACACAGAACAAGATAATGGAGCTAATAGTAAAATTTGTACTTTCATACAAACCTTGCATATACTGAGCTAACTAATGAAACACTGGTATGGTACATTCCATGAAGTTTCCAAACTGAAAACCAGTGGCAGCCAATTTGAATTCCTCATCAACACTGACTGTCATTTGGATTTCCACTTCTAACTTTGACACTTCAACACAGTAATGAAACTTAAGAGAAAAGCTAGTGCTATCTTTGGAGCATGTATTCCATTTTTTGAATCCTTTCAATATACTTCTTCAAACAGAGCATTTTACAAGCTCTTATGTTTTAGTGGCAGTAACAAACAGGTTGACTGCTTAGAGGTTTTGTTGAATCCTATTTGGATATATCTATAAATACTAGCAAAATATACAGCCTTTGGAAATACTCATTTTCCTAAAAGACATGGGATGCCAACAAATAGAAAAATACATGACGTCAGAAAACAAGTGGGAAAAACAGATATAAGAATGGGAATTCATTCTGAAGAACCTACACCAACTTTACTTCTGTTTTAGTCCTTCCCCCGCCATGTTTCGCAGCAGTTTCTTCTTTTGTATTCAAAGGAATGTTTTCTTCTCCTGAAATGGAGAAGACAGATATTGCCCTACTGGTCCCTTCAGCTCTTTCCCCACTCTTTTCCAAACCAAGTCAGCAGAAATGAGGCAGAACTTCAGCACTCGTGCCCAAACAACACAAAGCTGGCAGATCCCAACCAAGCGCACACTGATGGATATCACAGCCTCACATGAAATCCAGGACTATACTGCAAATTGCCTGCAATGAGATGTTCCTTCAGCTCAGGTATTGTATTGGCAACACTGAAATGTGCTTATTCTCATCTTTGGATCTAGGGGGCATCTAGTGGAAAGCCCCCTGAGTGAAACTAGAAGTAAGTCTTCCATTCTTATTCACTGCTTTTATTAATGGTTCTTGCTACATTGGCCTTTCTAGAAGATGCAACTGACAGGGAAGGGTTTCCTGAAAAAGAGCTTGTTTCCCTAAATCTCTCATCTTGGAACAAAAAAATTTAAAAATTTAAGAGTTATTTCAACTGGCTAGGTTGTAATACAGGTTTGGGGTTTTTTAAAAATATATATTTGCTCTTGGGAATGACAAAGGATTTTCTGTTCTGAATGTTCTCTTTATTTGCCCAAATGGATTTCCTTGGTTGTTGCCCATGCAACTAATGCAACGTGATTCTGAGTCACTGGGCAGAGAAAAAGAATGGGGTGGTGGCACACGGATCATCTCCACCCACTCTCTGCCATATCACTACTCCAAGTGCATTTTCATTTTGAGACTGACATGACATCAAGAACAGCCTTTCTTGGTTGCTATAAGCACTCTCAAAAGCATATTTGCTGATTGCTACCACCAACGTGGTTGTTCTGTTGTTGGTGAAAGATGTGTCATCAGTGAGGATTCACATTGTCACCTGGACATTGTATGCAGGAGAAAGCACTAATCACCAGTGTCAAACTAGCAGGTTGCCTACAGTCTGCCCTAGCAAGGCACAGTCAAAACCTAAAATATTTTCCATGAGATGTGCTGGTGATTATCAACTCATTTTCACGTGTTGGCTTTTGGCACTTTATTGCTTGGCTTCCAACACACGTCTGCAGGACTTCTGCAGCCACCAGACAGTGCCATGGACAATTTGCATCTTTGCACTCATATTTGCCCAGAAGACAGGCTGAGCACTCCATTTTATTTCAGTTGTGCCCATGCAGTTGTTCTGGTGCATCCACTCAGGAACTTTGGCGCTTTGTAGTACGAATGCACTGGTGAAATTTTCCTACAAGAAAGGTCATTTGGTGTAGGGAAGGGAGGGTGGACCAACTACTGGAGACTCATAGCTGAAAGAAGCTGCAAGGAACCAGGGGAGATCTCTCATTCCTTGCAAGGAAGCAGTAAGTCCAGTGTTGCCCCAGCATCCTGCTCATTCATTGCCAAGCCTAGTTTGGTCTCAATAAAGCAACTCATACCCATATCCTAGAAATATTTTGCAGAATTGGTGCTAAAGCATAAAATTCATGGAAATCAGTGAATGAATGATAGCTGTTTATTCTCCTCTGGAAGAAAAAAAATAGGACAATCCATTTGCATATTCAGACTGAGCACATTTGTTAAAAGGACAGTTCAGAATAAGCTGGCTCACAGCTACAGCAGGGGGAACGCAGAGGGGGACGAGCTGAGCCAAGGGACGCGGCTTCACAGGAAGACAGGCTGGGCAGCAGCTAGCAGGGAAGGGGCAGAAGGGGGCAAAAGGAGCAGCACAGAGCCTTGGACCTGGACAGGACACAGCAAGAACGGCAGGCAACTCAGGGAACCTTGTCAGGGCTGACACAGACACAATGTGGGAAGGGACACTGAACTTGTCGACTAACCTGACCTAATGACACTGTCAATATTAATCCCACACAGAAGTTCACATGAAACTCACATCTCAGACACTGCTAGAAAGGGGTGGAAACAGCAGTACTAACAGAAAAAAGGGTGGAGACTTTCCTTCTGATAGGCAGAGGTGGGAAGACGCTCTCTAATGTGGTGTTTCAGAATTAAAAACTCAGCACCACAAGTAGGGGACGACTTGAAATAACATACAGAAATAGAACAAGGACGTGACATAAAGCCCCTTGGTATATATCTGAGGAAAACTAGGAGTCAATCCAGTACTATGCTTAGGGACAACACTTTTCATTGCCTTGGGTTAGAATGTTGTATCTTATAGTATTTTACTTTTCTGCTGGGGAAAAATTGCCCCCAGGCAGCAGCTATGAGGGTTTGGCAGTTGATATACTCAAGAAGTCTGGCCTCCTAAATAACTGGGGACCACTTCAGGTTCACTTCACAAAAAAAAAAAAAAGATACTAATACTCATTTACATGTTGTAAACCTGTAAGATTTAGAGTAAATTGTAAGAGTAAGATCTACAGAGTAAGTCAGGTGTGTGGTACTAGAGACAGAAATAAATTATCATCATGATTCATGAAAAATCTTTAATGGACTAAAAGTATCTCCTATTTAACTCTAGTACTCTGCAGGATTACAATATCCAAATCATCAGTGCTTTGCAGGATTGATAACTACATTTTCTACAAACTGCAAGAGTTCCCCAGCCTCCCATAATGAACTCTAGTGGACAAAATACAAAGCTACTGGGAAACACATTTCCCAAGTAGAAAAATATTATTGAGAAATGAGACCAACATATATTTGAGACATTATTGTATATCATACTTCTGGAGAAACAGTCACTAAGCTACCTTTTATTAGCAGTTTCTATAACTAAGTTCAGAAATACAGCAAAGATTGTCTCAAGATTTCAGTACTGCTGCAAATTTTTCAAGTTAACAGTATAATGGTTCATAATATAGAGTGTTAGGTAAAACAAAATAACACATAGGCTAAATAAATGGTATTTGGGTTATGAAAGGCAGCAAGAAAAGCACCAAAATACTGAAAAAAACAGTAGAGTTGGCTAAGGACTTAAAAGGGAAAAAAAAATCATCAGTGTAACACGCTAGACATAGAGGCTCATGGACCCCAATGCACAGGAAAGCCTGCTGCTATGGGAAAACATTACTGTGCATTTCTGAAGAGAGAAGAAAGATCCACATCACTTTAAAGAGTGCCTTGGAACAGAGGTGCTCAGAGCCACAGGAGGCTGGGAGCAGGGGCTGTCCACCCCACCTGAGGAGGCAGAACAGCTCCCTGCCTTTTAAAGACCTGGCAGGAGTACCAGAGAAAGGGTGGGCACCATCCTGCTGGGCGCAGGTCCATCTACGATGCGCTCTCCAGTGCCTCGATGGCTCACACCGCAAGAGTGGCCACTGCAGGGGACAAAAAGCATCTCTCTCACCTCCCCTTCTGGCCATCAACATCCCACAGACTTAGCTTCTCCCAAAGAGAGAATCCTTCAGTCTTGATCCTCATTCTTTGCCTGATTCTGCATTTCAACAGGAGGGGAAGACCGGGCTCCCTGGGGCTTACTGAGACTGGTGGCCCACAGTATCAGCAAAGTGAGGCTGCTCAGTGATCAGTGTCCATAGCCTGTTCATGGACTGCCTCAGCACAGGTAACTTACAAACCACGAAAGTTGTCTTCTGTTAGGCCTTTACAGCTGTTGAACCTTAATTCCACCTCCCTCAGCTTCCCTCAGTCCACCCCTTTGAGTAAGACCTCATAATGCACACAAATAAATTCCCATAATTCTGACAATCCCTCTGCTTTCTGCTTTATCAGAAGGTGCTGCTCTCCCTGCAGCAAGGTGGCAATTGAAATTTGTGCTTTTGCTAAGTGCCTAACTTTTCATCTGACAGCAGTCAAGGTTGGGGCATAACGTGGAAATACACCAGCTGTGACAATAATAATAATAATGGCAGGATGGAGCATGTGGCTAGTCAGAAAACAAAGGGAAAATATTTTCCACTGCTGCATCACAACCCCAATTACACAACCAAACAGCAGGACTTGAGGGGAGGGATTCTCTCCACCACCACAGGTATTTAGGCACCCCTGCAAACCATGTCAGTCTAACACAGAGGAAGGAGCAGGTCGGACGCAGCAATTAGGACGCCTAAAATTCTGCAGCATGGACTGGAACACGTTGTGCTGCCTCCCTTTTAGTTTTTTATTTGAGGATGTATCTGAGGAAATGGATTTCCGGGTCTGACTGTTCTGGGCCCGGATCAGTTTCTCGTGTTCCCGTATTTGTCTCTGTAAGTGGTTCTGGATGGCAATTCCCAGGGATTCTGGATCGAGGGAAGCACCATAAACCTCCCACGTCATTCCTTGCTCATCCCAAACAACATCCCTGACGTGTTTGGACTGCTTCACCTGTACTTTGGCCTCCATGGCTGGGGTGGAATGCTTTTTGCTCTCCCCCAGGTTTGGCACAGCCTGAGAGGAAGCAGCAGGAATCACTGCAGTGTGGAGATCGTGTCCGGACTGCCTGGCCCGGAGGCCCTGCTGCTGGGGAGCTGCCGGTGCTGCCACAGGAGGGGCAAGACTTGCAGGACTCACACTCAGCTCAGGTGTCAGTCCTGCCTGCAGGTTCTGGCCACCAGCCACCTGAGACTGGCCACTGTCTCCATGGCCTCTGCTCTCCTTCTCATCCTGTGGGCACACCTTGGCACGGACAGCGGCATGCTGGCTGCCAACACTCAGCCCTCCTTTAGGATCAAGCACCACCAGGTTTTCTTCATTTGGTTTTACCACAGATTGATTAGGACTGGCCTGCCCTTGACTCCCACCCTTGCTCTGCACAGGCTTTTGCTCAGAGCTGCCCAGGACCTCCTTCTGCTTGGCTTCACTGTCCTTGCCAGAGAGTAAAGGTGACCGGCTGCTTCCTGCATGAAGGATGACATCTTGCACGTTGTTCTGGGTTCCTGGGACAGCATCAGTGCAAGTGGCACTTGGCTCACCAGCACCACTCCCAGACTGTGATGGAGTTTGATTACTGGAGTCAACTCCAAGCTGCTCAGCTGGGATGGGCTTTGGTGGGACTGGAGCATCCTTTGGCAGCTGAGCAGCATTCTTGACATCACGAGCTGCACTGCTCATTTCAGCATTACCCACAGATGTTCCTTGAGAGGTAACAGCTGCAGGGGAGCAGGAGAGAACAGGTTTCATGTTATCTGCTGATACTGGAGATGCCACATCAGGTGGGATCCCAGGCTGGGTTTGGGCTGAAGCAGTCACAGCCACAACAGTTGATTCTGATGTGATACCAGGAGAACATGGAGACTTTTGTTGTGAGGATAAACTGTCAGTAAGTGCAGCCTGGCTCAGCCCCATACCTCCTTGGTAAATTATGTGTAGTTCTTCCTTCTCCTCTGGAGGAGGATTCCCTTTTAAGAAGGCAGCAAAGATGCTGGGACTGGTGGAAGCTGATTTGCTCTCCACAGTAGCCACGGCCTGAACCTCAGCATCCCGCCATGTCCTGCTCACAGCTTCCTGGGCTGAGCTGCTGGGTGAGCAAGGGCTGCTGTCTGGCTGAGCTGTCATTGTACCTGTTTCTCTGAATTTGGAGAGCTGGGTGAGGCTTGGAATCCCAGGCATGGGGGCCAGGTTGTGTACAGGATGGGGACTCCCCTGGCCAGACTGGGCTGGTGCCTCGCTGCTCTGCACTGCTTCAGTTTTATCTGGGGGATGTGACTGCAGCATATCTGCAGTCCCACCTTTTGCCTCCAGACTGGTCTGAGAGTCCTTCCCCAGGTCAGCTTCGGTTTGCCCTGCTGCCAGGACTGACTGACACACAGCAGAACCATTTTCCTCTGCCTCCCTGTCTTTTTCCCCTCTTTGCAGAAGGTTGGCCTGAGAAGTATGACAGAATTGATTAACCCCGACAGGATCACCCGGGGAAGAATAATTTAACACTTCAAGCGCTGGCTGATCATCAGTTCCTTGAGGTTTCAAGGCAGAGTCATCAATCTGTGTCAGGGAGCTCGTTTTGGCCTGGCTGCCTTGCACAAACTGCCGGGAGCTCTGGGGGGCTGGCATCATCTCTGGCCCCTGCCCCACCGAGAGGGCTCCTGTGGCACCAAGGGCTGGCACTGCCAGTGCCGGGATGCCTGCTGGCTGGGAACAACCAGCAGGCCTTACATCTGCAGGGTGCCCCTCTGCAGTTGTGCTGGCCAGCCCGGGAGAAAGGGCTTCCTGCTGGCTGTCATTATCCGTGTGGCACTGCTCACACCTCTGCGTGCTGGCAGCACCCGTGCAGGTCAGGTCGAAGATGCAAACCCCAGCTGAGCTGGACGGCGCGCACGGGAAACCATTGCTGGCCCTCTCGGCACTGGGGGCCTGGGGCTGGGGCTTGGCAGACTGCAGGTCCCCCAGGTGCTCCTCCTCTGCAGAAGTTGAGACCAGGGAAAGCTTGGCAGATCTCAGAGGGTCTGGTACAGTCCCCATGGACTGTCTTCAAGATGCTGTTTGTCCTCAGCTTCCCCTTGGAGTTTTTTCGCTGGGCAGGCTGTCGACGACAGGCTTTCTGTGAAGCTAATCTGTTAATGAAACAAACACAGTGTTAGCAGCAGTCAGATTCAAGAAAAAGTATCCAGAACTAATTGATTTTACAGTGTGAGGAGAAATACTTGCAGGCAGCGGGGGAAGTGAAGCACCCAATTCTGCCTGAAAGTCACAAAAAAGACACAGATTTCAAGGACTTCCCAATTCTCAGGTCAGGATGGAGAAAATAATATTAGGGACAAAGCAACAACAGTTCTGTGCTGTTGATACATTAATGAAAACACTGACATGCCAAGAGGAAGGAAAAAAAAGAAATATGAAATGAAAGAAGAGGTACAGACTTTGCATGGAAGTTTGAGTCACAAAATAAAATCCCAGTGATAATACTCTCTAGCAAGCCACCTGTGGAAGGAAATGCCTGTGTGAAGAACATATCCCTAGGTTTGAGCAGATTCCACATCTTCAGTGAGCACCAGTTCTCCCCTCTTCTCAAGGATAGCCTTTCTAGCTCCACTACCTACAAGGACAGGGTCACAGGGGGCAAGAGATCAATTCAGACTAATGTGGATGAACCGAAACCTCACTGGTTAAAGGAATACAGAGGGATCACAACCTGCTGGGTGATGCAGATAGAAACCAAGAGGAGGTACTGCCCACTGTTGTGGTGTTGTGAGGGCCCCAGGACGAGGTGAGAGGTGAGAATTTGACTCCATGTTCTCAGGAGGCTGATTTATTATTTTATGATATATTATATAAAAAGAAATTATATACTAAAACTATACTGAAGAAAAAGAAGGGATATATCAGAAAGCTAGAAAGGAGTGAATAATAAAAACCCATGACTGATCAGAGTCCTGACACAGCTGGACTGGGATTGGTCATTAATTAAAGACAATTCACATGTTGGGTAAACAATTCTGCAAATCACATTCCAAAGCAGAAAAACAGGGAGAAGCTGAAGCTTCCCAGCTTCCCAGGAGAAGAAATCCTGGCAAAGGGATTTTTCAGAAAATATCATGGTGACACTGTACCCCAGGGCTGTGCACATTCTCACTGCTGACACATTGAGAGCCTTTGAAATAATTACAAGGAAGCCATCTTGATTAACAAATGGGGGTACAGATGACCTAAAAATCAACTTACAGGTAAGTGGCATGAAATTGAAAGGGGAACACTGCAGCACTGCAGAACAGGAGGGGTTCATGCCATACCCAGGGAAATGTGGGGGAGGGATTTTAAGCAGGTAGAACAGAGTAATCCAGCTTGGAATCATGCCAGGACTGCAGAGAAACCATCCCTTCAGACTGGAGGTGATCTCCAAATGTGTTTGCTGGCTTTCCAAAGGGCTTAGTCTGGACACTGCTAGAGATCAAAGATGGGATCCATGTCAGCAGAGTGGTGATGGCCAGGAATAAAATCCCACCCCACTCTTCTTTTAAGCTTCAGGCTATCTAAGCTTGTTTAAAAAGCTTTCACTGGCTTATGCTGCCAGTAAAACAGGTATGAGACCTGGGAGACACTCAAGTTTTGTTAACCTGATGACAAGAACATTGCTGTACCTGTTTGTGTGCCCCTGTCTCTGCAAGCACACAGCAGGATCTCCCTTGCTACATCACTAGGGAGATGATGCTGGAAGCAGTGGAGCTGTCACTCAGCTCTTCCAGACCCTCCCTACCCACTAGCAAAACCAACAAAATTTCTCTCCAGAAAAATCTCTACTTTCCTTTTCTCAGCCTGGATGGCAGTGGTATGAATTCCTTAGTTTCTCTAAAATCAATCCCAAATTTCAGCACCTTCGGATACTTTAAAAGAGCAACAGGAGAAAAATGCTCAATGAAGGAAAATTTTAGAAAATACAGCCAGTCAATTTTTTTTTCTAAGAAAAAGAAAGTGCTGCAACTTATTACTTATTCATTAAGCTTTCTATCTTCCAGGTATTAAAAATTTATTACTTTTATATTGCCTCTTTGGGCTCTGTCCAACCAGAGATAAAGGCTCCTGGGCTAAGCCAGCCCTGAGAAACTGTAATCCTGCCCCTGAAGGATCCCAAGTTCCTTAGCTGCACTCTGTGACAGCAGCCCAGCATCACCCCATGACGGCTTTCCAGGAGGGCTAAGGATGGCCAAGTTTTTTGGGAAGTACTGAATATGTAAACCAGGCTGCAAACCAATGGAAGGTTGTGGCTGCCCACAGGTCTTGCCTTCATTTTGTTCTCACTTTAGGGACAGCCGAGGTACTCCTGAAGGAAGGACAGACATTCCATGTTCACCCTGTGGTGCTATAAACATCTAAGGGCTCCGAGGAGAGGAACAGATGGCTTTGGGTATCCACTGGACTAAATTCTGTTACTCTCTTCTTTCCTCTTCCAAATATCTCTGCAAATCAAACCAGTTCATACAGCTGGGAAGGTCAGATATATTTTCCCCTTATTTTTTAGATCCAGAGTTTATTTAAGAAAAATTAAGCAAATAATGGAACCAAATCAATCTTCATTTTTTGGTAAGATGTACTACTCAGCAAACACAGTCAGAATAAATAAAGATTTCAGAGAAAATCTGTTTGATTCTTCACTATATAAGACCTGGGCAAAGCAATCTACATACAGGAGCATTATCTTTTAACTCATACCCACTCAACAGGGCGGTCATTCCTAATTTTTCAATGAAATGAATTAGTTCTGGCCTGAACTCTGCATGAATTCTCCATATCCGTTTAGTGGCTCTTTCCTAGAATCACCTGAAACACACAGTTGAATGTCTGCCTCATATGGTAATTAAAAGAGATTTTGCTACCAGTCCTTGACATACAACATCAACAGAAGAAATTCCCCCCAGAAAACCTACCTGGACCTATTCTCTGATGTGGGACAACTGAGCACTGTCCAGACATTTTGGCAGACCCTTGCATATGGGTTGGATGGTGGATCATTCTTCTGCCTGGAATGACTCTGCATATGAGTTCATTAATGAGCATAAAGTTTCTATAAAGACTTTTTGCCAAAGTCACGGGGATTATTTTCTAGACTGTCACTAAACCATCCTAATGACAGGAGCCAAAGGCACTGAAGTAGCCTAAATTAGCATGGTAACTTAAGAAAATATTCTAACTTAAGAATTAATAAAAATCAGAGAAAAGCAAAGTCTTATGAAAGAGAGCAGCAAGGAAGCCCTACAGATTACAGAATTGGAAAGGCATTTGTATTAATGGAATCTCATTTACGATTATTGTATCATTTTTATTATTTGAGTCCTGTTATACAGGAATGAAGGACAATGTTGGGACCTGTGGGCAACACTACTCAACTGCCAAGACAGTGAGGATTCAAACAAACAAACAACATTGCCTGCAAGCAAATACTTAGGAAAAACAGAAGTACAAAACTCAGTAGAAGGCAAAAAAAACATGTCAAAACAAATCAAGATTGCTGATGAATTTTTCAAGTCTTGTATGCCAGACGTGGAACAATCATCCAAAATTTTCTTTTAAGAGGAGGTGAAATTAGTATCTCTACAAAGGTCAAAATCACTTTTTAGTAATAAGAACACATTTGCTACACCAACAGAGTTCTCATCCTTATTCTTGCAGATCAAATTAGCCTGCCTGACTGTGTCATTCTCATCTCAAAAAGGAATTGTTCTGGAGCTTTAGCAACAAGAGGTTTCTAACTTTGGCAGAGTCTATGTTTGGCTTAAATGGTCTGGGAGGGTCCCTGTGCGGCCAGCAGACCTTCACAGACTCTTGTAACTAAGTAGGTCTTTTTCATGTGCTGTTAGAAAGTCCAAAATCCCTCAAATCCCAAGAAGTTACCTGGAAACTTAATGCTGACAATGTAAAGAACACTTATCTATTTCAGTAATAAACAACACCCAATAAAACAACACTGCAAATGTTAACAGTATAATGGTTCATAATATGGAGTGTTAGGTAAAACAAAGTAACACACAGGCTAAATAAGGGTATTTGGGTTATGAAAGGCAGCAAGAAAAGAACCACAAGACTCAAAAAAAAGGTAGGATTTTTTTTTTCCTCCTGCTTCTTATGAGAAGCTCAACAAAACCAGAAAGTCTTCATGTTTCATAATAAAAATCAATAAATTTTCAGGAAATTCCTACATAAGATTCTGCCTTTCACTCCCTCTGGAAGAAATCTGAAAATCTGCAAAAGCACAAATAAGACTTCCAGCATCTCCACCCACCCACAACCATAAAAAACAACTAAAAAGCAGCTCCCAAAGAAATCAAGCATCTTATCCCCAATTCTGGATTCTCATCACCTTTCCACTCCTTGAGTCCTGTACACATTGAGCCCTTTCTTCAACCTTGTTTCTGCAAATGGAAGAGCTGAACACTTGTTCTTAATAGCTCTAATCTTACAAGATCTCTCAGATCATCACAAAAAAATCATTATATAGCCACATCGGTTAAGAACAGAGATAAACATCTGCTGAAGGGGGAATTCAGTCTCTGTTCTCATTTTCTGATCTGAGGAAAAAGACAATGGCTCACTTGAACTCATATCAGACCACTGAATATAAAGGAAATAAAACACATTTCTTTAAAATTTAAACACACAAACATCCTTCTAATTCTGGAGCCAGTGGGGTTTTTTACCCTCTTTTCAATGTCAAAGGGTTTTTGTTATCCTGGGTTTCATGAAAAATTTGCTTTATGGGCCATTTTCTCCTAATTATTTGTGGGATCAAAAAGACTGGCACTACAAATGAAAGACAGCACAAAACAAGGACACATTCATTAAAATCCCTAAGAGGTTGCCTGAAGAGGTAAGATACAAGGTGCAGAGCTTCCATCTTTCAGTGTGTTTTGGGATGCGGACAGGAGACAAATTATTCACTGTGATGACAGGGAGGGAAGAGGTGGTGGGGGATGCCCACAGACACCTTGCACACCTGTGATTCCCACCAGAGACAGGGCTGGCATTTCAAGCAGAGGGTGCTCCAAGTCCCAGTTCCCCTTCTACACCCCAGGAATGCAGATGTTACTGCAGGTCAGAGCTGCAGCCAAAGCAGGAACCTGTG